TGAGCAGATGGCACCCTCCAGTCAACTTGCTAGAAGGCATTTGGCAGAAAGAGAACCCAGGTAGGTCAGCAGGCCTCTTCTGCTCATGCAGAGAGTCGGGCCACTGCTATACTGCTGTGGGACCTCAGGGGCCACTCCAGGCTCCTGTTTCCTCACATAAATGGGATCTTCATAATACCCAGTCACTTTGGGAGTGAGGAATAAGTTAATGTACATATTGAGCTTAGAATAGTACCTAGCACATCTGTTAGCAGTTGAGCTAAGGATCTGAAGGGTAGGTAGTAACACCTTTTTTTTGCTTTTGCTTTTTATTTGGGGGGGGGGAGGGAGGAATTCAGTCCTATAGAAATGTTGTAAGAATAGTATAACAAATTCCTTAACGTTTTGCCACATTTACTTTTTCCTCTCTCTACTTACAATAATTTCTTTATTATAGATACAGGCATAGAAAAGGTAAACATCAATTTCAGGAAATTGTCACTTTCAGATTCATCCAAAACTATTATGCAGTGTAGAGTGCATTATTACATTGTGCCGCTTGTTTCCATGCCATCTTTAAGGCAGGACTCCCCTCCCCCACCTGGGATCTGATCTAATCCCTTTAGTCATGCCTGCTTAGTCTCTTAATCTGGAGGAGTTCTTCAGCCTTTCTTTGTCTTTCCTAACTTCCATATTTTTGTTTCCTTGGTGCCTGAGCCTCCCTGTGTTGGTCAGGCTGTCCTTAAACTCCTATGCTCATGTGAGTCTCCCACCTCAGCCTCCCAAGTGCCTGGACTGTAGGTGCAGACCACCACGCCCCGCAAACTTTGACATTCCTGAAGAGTTACAAGCCACTGTTTTGTAGAATGCCCCAGGAATGGGGTTGTTGATATTTCCTTGTGATTAGATTCAGACTGAGCATTAGGAGTGATGTTGGTTCCCTTCACTCAGGGGAGGTGGTATTGTTTTCCCCTTGTAATTAATAAGTGATCTGTGGGAGGTGTTTTTGAGAGTGTGTATGTGTATACCGTTCCCCAACACATTTTTAATCAATGGTTTGTTGGTTTATCATGTGTTGATTTTTGACCAAACTCCTCCTGAAATTCAGCTGCAGGTCCGAATCCTGATTGACTTTTAGGTCAGTAAACCAGAGTTCCTTTGGGGGCTGCCAGTGTGAAACTTAGCGTGGGGAAATATATTGATTTTTGTCAAAGAACTTTTATTCCATTTGGGACACAGATGCTTTTCTTGAGTTTAAAATATGAAAAGACCAGAGTCATTTATTCATTTTTCTAGTAGGTATTTGCCGAGTGTTTATTCCATGCCAGCTGCTATTCCAGGTGCTGGGGATAAATGGTAAAAAGAAAAAAACCAAATCCTTTCTTCCTGCAAGTGACATTCTCCATGGTGGAGTCAGACAGTACAACTTTATGGTACTGTCAGGCAGTGATAAGGGAAGAAAAAGCAGGGCAGTGATGGAGATGGAGGGCTGTGGGGCTGGAGGGTGGTGTCAGCCAGGGCTGCCTGCAGGGTGAGGCCAGGGAGCCTGAGGGGAGGGTTTGTCTGGAAGTGGAGTGATTGCTCAAGGCGCAGAGAGGGCTTGTGCCCACTGCTAGGTGGCAGGACAGTGCACAACAGAGGCAGCAAGGAGTATGGCTACAACAGAGGCAGCAAGGAGGAGAGTGGATAAATGAAAGGACGGGAGCCTTGAAGACCAAGATGGAGCTAGTGGAGGACCTTGGCAGGGAGCTGCCCCAGCACTGATGCCAGCAAGCAGGGGTGTCCCTGTGGTGGTCTGAGGGCAGCTGGGCACTGAGAAGTGAGGGTCTAGCAGGGCTCTGAGAATGCTGCCCGTGGGATCACCATGGGGGTCCACCTGCAACTCAGGAGCTCCTCAGGGAAGGAAGATGGGCAGGGACTGAGCATTTGAGTCACTGAGGCTCTGGATTTTCTTCCTGCTCCCTCAGATCTGGGCAGAAGGGGGCTGGCACCGTGAGATTTCTGTTTTCCCTGCGCCCTGGGTGGCTGGGGCAGATCCTTGACAAGCCTGGGCAGACCACGGCTTGTTCCCAGGCCCCTGGAACAGCCAGAGAGCCCCAGGCTATGAGCCCAGGGCCCTGTGTCCCTTGCCAGTTAGGCTGTTCTCCAGTTTCAGCCCTGCCTTTGTTCCCAGACGTCTCTTCCCCCACTCCGAGGGAGTTCTGTTCTGTTACCCCTTGTTTCTTCACCACCCAACCTAGGCGACTGAAGGCACAACAAAAACGAGAATAAAGGTGGTGTTTGTAGAGTGCTTTACAGTGTTGGAAGGCACTTACAAAATGGTTTCCACCTACTAATTTATTTAATTCTCACATAAACCTTGTAAGGAGGAACTGTTTTTTGTTGGTGATGGTGTTTTTAATTTTTTAATATGTATTTTTAGTTGTTGGTGGGCTTTATTTTAGTCATTTATTTATATGCTGTGCTGAGAATCCAACCCAGTGCCTCATACATGCTGGGCAATTGCTTTTAACACTGAACCACAACCCCAGCCCCAGAAGGTACTGTTTTTACCCTTAGGTAGGAGGTGAGGAGAGTGAAGCAACAGAGAGGGTGGGCCACTTATCCATGGTAACACAGTAAGTGCAGAGCCTCTTGGGATCTTGGGTGCTTGACCTCTGACCATGAGCCTATAATATTGGGTTGTTAGAGAGCAATGAAGAGTGAAAAGTGAGAAAGTGTTTTGCTGCTGTCAGAGGGTTGAGAAAGCTATTGTGCTTCCCTCTTAGGGTCAGATCCATGATTCCCAGGAGTCTGGGTGATGTTTACTTAGTGTCTCCTCCCATGATCCAGATGACATGTTTTGTTTAATGCTAACAACGTCACAGGTGAGGAAACTGAGACTATGTAAGAGGCCACGTGTCACTCAGTAAGGGAGAGTCATATGGCCACTCTGCTCCAGACCCCCAGTCTTCCTGATACCACTGGTTACTGGTGATGAGTTCTGCTCCCTCATATGTTGACATATGAACATTAGAGAAGCACACCGAGGCAAGAACTTCTCCTGGGAGGGAGAATGGGGCCATAGCTGGTGTCCCGGTATCCCGAGGTGTTCTGCCCTTTTACAAGTCCTAGGCTTCCTTTGTTCTGCTCTCTTCCCCTTATCTCTCTCCTTCCTGCCTATGTGACTAGGCCTAAGGGTGGGAAAGGGGGGGGGCAGGATGGTGCAGCCCAGCACACATTAATAACCTTATAGCTCCCTGTAGGGAGGGGCAATTCCTGGGACCGGTTATCTTGGCCCCTGGTTGGAGCAGGGGCAAATTCTTGATAAGGGTGGAGGAAGGGCTCTGAAGGAATTAACATTTCAGTTCTTCAAGGGGTAGTCTCCAACTCAAAACTGGCCTCCTTGATCCAACCTGACTTGATTTACCCATCTCTGCTGACTGCTTGTCTAATTCTGGCTTCATTCCCACATGCTGCCTTGCTTGCCCCCAGAGCTAATGGTGAGGACATTTAGTACTTGCCAGAAGTCATGTGCTGGGTGTGTCACACTTGTACATCCCTGCTGGCTTTGAAAACATACTGAGCTGTTAGGCAGGCCTCTGTATCAAGAAAGCACTGAGTTAGCTGGGCACGGTGGCATACGCCTGTAATCCCAGTGATTTGGGAAACTGAGTAGGAAGATCACAAGTTTGAGTCCAGCCTCAACAATTTAGCAAGACTGTTTCAAAATAAAAGTTCTGGGGATACATCTCAATGGTAGAACACTCCTAGGTTCAATCCCCAGAAACACACACAGACCCCCCCAAAAAGCACTGACTTTAGGATAAGATGACCTTGGTTTTAGTCCTGCCTCTGCCACATCTCCAGCGTGACACAAGATGAGTCTTGGAATCCCTGCCACCTTTTCTTTCTCACCAGCGGAAGCAGGATTAAAACCAACCATATCCTCAGACCAAATACAAAAAGTATAGGCTCATGGTCTTTAGCTGGGTCTTGTGCTATGGAGGTGAGTAGAATTCCCTGGAGTGACTTCTTTGAAAGAACATATCTGGATCCCAGGGAGGGGAGTCAGGGGTACATGGGTCTTTTGAGAAACGTCCCAGCCTATTTTGAAACACATTTTACCCCCCACCCCAGACCTGTGTTGAAGCACTATATATAAAAGTTAGAGTAATGACAGTGGTCATGCCAAATGTTTTTCAAAATAAGGGAAAGGACTTAATCACAACCAGGTGGTGTTGGGCCAGAACACTAGTCTAGGGTACTTGCAGGAAAGCTATAGGGTTTCCTCATTAAAACTGCTCCTCTCCGCTAGGGACAGTTTTGCCCCCCATTTGACACTGTCTGGGGACTTTGGTGTCGCAGTTGGGGGAGGTGCTGCTAGCATCCAGGGAGAGACCAGGGTTGCTGCTAATAAACATGCTGCAATGCACGGGACAGCTCCCACCGAAAAACTCCTCAAGGCCAAGCTGTTGGTGGTGCCAAGTCGATAAACCCTGGGTTAGATGTAGGCAGCACTTGTGTAGTGTCTGCTTCGTGCCAGACGTTGTTCTAAGGGCTTTACAGGTTATTAACTCACTTGATCTTTCCAGTGTTATGACATAGGAGCTGTTACTATCCTCATTTGGCAGATGGAAAATTAGCTGCACACACAGGTTAAGTAACCGGACCCAGTTCCCACCTGGGGCCGTGGTCCCACTTGGTGTGGATAAGGAGCTTAGACAGTCTGATTCCAGAGTCCACACTATGAACCACTGTGCTGTGCTGTGCCTCCTTATGGGGGCTACTGAGCTTTAAATCACATTTTCAGCTTTGAGTCCAGAAAGCCAAATACCTAGAAATTTGCCCATGAAAAGAGTTAAGATACCATTAGTTCCTGTACCTGGAAGATGGAGAGGGGGTGGCCAGGGATAGTTTAATGGTAAGGGCTCAAGAACCCATCAGTGAAAGCTTTGTGTTTTCCAGGTTCAGAGAGTGGCTCAGCCCATGAATTGAATGGGCTTTGCTTTCTAGTCACAGACTGTGCTGTGTCATTGCAGACGTGAAGACAACAGTGGTATACCCTGCCACAGAGAAACACCTACAGAAGTACCTGCGCCAGGACCTCCACCTGATCCAAGAGACAGGAGATGACTACAAGAACATTACCTTACCTCACCTGGAGTCCCAGAGCCTTGGCATTCAGGTAACTGGCTGCCAAGTTTGAGATACTGATTGCTGTTCCTGTGCCAGTTTCTCTTCCTTATGAGCATCTATTGGGATCTTCCCAGGGACTAAGCACTGTACTAAGTTCAGTGGATATAGCAGAGAGCAGGGCAGACTAAGTCCCTGCCCCATAGAGCTTACCTAATTTGGGGAGTCAGAACATAAATGCATGAGGACATATATGATACATGAGATTATGAATGCAGTGGAGAAAACTGGAGAGGATCAGTGAGATAGAGAGTCCCAGGGTGGCTGGCTGCTATTTTATACAGGATGGTCAGAGTAGGCTTCATAGAGAAAGGAATTGGCCCTGGTCTTGGACCCCTCATGAGATGCTTGGGCAAGTCACTGAGGCTCTCTGGGAGTTACTGAGCAGTTCAGTCTGCTAGAAGAATTTGTATCTGCTTCACATTATCCTACGACAGTCTCAAAATGACTATGTCCTCCTTGTGTTGGATTGGGCCCACCCTGGTCCAGCTTCTTATTCCTGATTGCTCCTGTAGCAAACCAGCTGTGTCTCAGAGTAAAATACTCCCTTATCACTCATTCCGCTTTACATTTATTCCACAGAAATCAGTACCCTGTCATCCCTGACATTTGTTTGGGCCTCTGAGCACAGGTTGGTAGAGTGTTCTGGCTGGGCCAAATATAAGTCTGTCTAGCTTAGAGATTCTGATGGCTTCTTGGGCGTAGGCCAGGGCCAGCCAGAGACTGCCTGGAATTGGCCCCATGTGGATACTCAGTTAAATATGATTGATGATGATTGATGAGTCATTTCCTTGCCCACTCACTGGCTCTCACTGGCTCTTTCCCATTATTGCTTACTCTTGTTCTCTTTGAGCATTTCTCACTAATCTTCACAAGATTCAGGTTACTGTAGTGGGAAGTATTCTAATATGGGGTGCTCAAAGACATTCTGGGCTCAGAAGGCAGGAGGGAGAGAAGGAGCTGCGGGGTCAGTTGTACTGAGAGGAGTTAAGGAGGGGGAGATTGGCAGAACCTGTGGAAAGGCTATTCCCTGGAGAGGCCTGTGTGCTGATAGCCCTCTTCCCTATATCTAAGAGGACCCAGCCCTGTTACTAGCCATGCCTCCCATGCAGATTTGCACACGGTTCCTCTAACTGAAGCTGTCCTGATTTTTTTTCTTTTTTCTTTCTTTCTTTCTTTTTTTAAAAAAAATCCCAGCACTTGTCCTGTCTTCTGAGTGGAAAGAAAGTATGTCTCTACATTCCTGAACAGCTTCTATTCAGGGACCTAGAGGAATCTGCTGGAATATGTGTTCTGTGGTGCTGGTTGTACTTATCTGGGATTCAAGAGAGGAAGCCCAAATGTAGTTGTCGTGAGTCATATATCTACTTTATTACACATCCGAACATATGTCCACTTGGAAAATAATACAACAAAAACTCCACTACTTTTCCATTGACATGAGCATTCATGTATTTCTTCTTGGCTATTTCTAGCAAATGTATAAGCAGTCACTGCATTTATTGAGCATCTGTAGTATACCAGCTAGGCTCTGGAGGAACACCCAGATAATGAAACCTTGCTGATGCAGTGTAGCAGGGAAGATAGATTAGGAGGACTAAAACCCACCATGGATCTGAACCAGGGTAGAGATAGCAGGGAAGGATTTGGGAGTGATTTAAGAGGTAAACCTTAATGAGGTTGATTGGACTTAGACTGGTTGACATGGAAAAGGAGGTATGAGTGTGGTATGACCCTGGGTCTTGCTTGCCTGACAAGCAGACAGTAAGATCATTTATTTATCAGGATGGAAACATGGACAGTGGAGTGGGTTTTTGTGAAAGACAATGAGTTCTGTTTGGGGTTTATTGAGCATTTATTAAATGTCAAGAACTATTCTAGGCTTTTTACATGGATTACCTCATTTTATGTTCACAACAGCCCATTTGGAGATGGGACTCCAAATCCATGCTTTCTGGCCCCAGCATCTGTATTCTTAGCTGGTGACATTATTTGACTCTTCAAATTTGAAGTACTTGTAACTTTCCAGTGAAAATGCCCAATAAAAAAAGGTAGTGGGGTATCTGAATCTGAACCCTTGAGGCATTCAGCTGAAAAATCTTCATTTGTGAGCTGTCACATCAGGCTTCAGCATTGGCCTGGTGTTATGATTCTTATTCTGCTAAGAGCAGCATGGCATTGTCCTTGACTTCTGGGCCTGTTTCCTTTTCTGAAAAATGTGATTAACAGATCCTTCCTCCTAAGGTTGTTGTAGAAATTAAGAGAGGTACCATTTATCATGTGCTGCTATTTCCTGAAAAGGACCCAGGATGGAGCTACCATTATCCACACCCAGGAAGAACAGGGGAACAGGCAGGCATGAGACGGATGGACAGGTGGGGGACAAACCAGGTGAGCAGAATGAAGAGTGAGAGGAGAATGAAGAAGGATCAAGATGTCCCATGAGAAGTTCAAGGAGGAAGGAGGTTCTAGAGGGATTTGTCAGTGTCAACTAGTGCACAGTCCAGCCAAATATATACTAGAAAGTGTCACCCACAATCCTATCATTGGCAGAGCTAGCCAAGTCTCTAGGGCTTACATTTAGACGGTAGCCTTCCCGTCACCTACCTTAGGAAATTTGTGTGGATTTTGTTCTCTCTATCCCCTCCCTTTCTTCTCTGGGCTTCTGGCCATGAGACTTCCTGAGGATGCCGGTTCCTGCCACTTGCCCAGGGAACTCTCCCAGGAGGCAGGATATGCTGTGGGCTACAGTGCAGGCTCAGGAGCCAGGCTCCCAGGGTTAGAATTGTGGGAGCTTATGTGAACTTCCTTGCACCTGTATTTTTCTTACCTGCAAAATGGGGACAACAATAGAAGGGTTATGGCCCTTAGAGTAGTATAAGAGTAGGGCTGCCCTTGCTGTTCCCACTCCCAGTCGCTGGTAGTCACTTAGCTTCCAGCCTTGTGCTTCTCCAGCCACTTCCTTTGCTTTCACCCGCTTCTCTCTTTTTCTGCCTCGCTTAATCTTAGAGCCTCCAGCAAATCACCCCTTTGTCATCGCCTGTCTTGGAGTGCCACTGCTACTCCTAGGTTGCCTCCTCTGTGCTGGGCTCTGGGCTAGGTGCTCACACGTGCATGTCTGAATTAAACTCCTCACATGTGTAGATCCTGTTAGTCCCATTTAATGAAAGAGGATTCAGTTGCTTGCCTAAGGTGGCAGCAAAACAGTGGTGGAGCTGGAAGATAAAACCAAATGTCAAACCCCAGAATCCAAGCATGCTCTCTGACACCTCCCGCTGCTCTCCAGTGGACGTGGTGCTTCTCTGGATGAGCAAAGGACAGCCCAGGAGGTCAGCTTATGGAGCATACCAGACTCTCCACAGTAGAATGTCACCATCTCCCTCATTTCCTGAGTTTCCCAGAGGCTTCAGGTCAGCCTCCAGCTGACTTTTTTTTTCTCCTTCCTTTCTTTTTTCCCCTTTAGCAGCACATTCCCAGAGAGGTCTCTGGTGGGAGAGGAAATGCCTCTGGAGGAATCTTGGCCTTCCAGAGGGCATCGCTTTGGCATGGGCACTGCATGAGGAAACAGCCACTGGGTGTCCTCCAGACCTCTCCCAGGAAGTGGATCCCCCAGGCTTTTCCTGGGAAGCCCCCATTCTACTTTTGTGTGTGTGTGTGTGTGTGTGTGTGTGTGTATGTGGTGCTGGGGATTGAACCCCAAGGCCTTGTGCATGCAAGGCAAGTACTCTACCAGCTGAGCTATATCCCCAGCCTGGGAGCCCCTCTTTGATGGTGGGGGAACCACACTATGATTGGCCTTTGGGTTTTGCTAGGGTCTAGAGGTCATCTGGGCTGAAGTGCTTCCTGTAGGTAATTGTAGGAGACTGGAGGCCCAGTTATCCGCAGGCAGAGGCCCTCTTCTCCCTTCCCACTGTCCCAGCTGAGAGCAAGGATGCAGTGTGGTGTGCTCAGCCATATAGGCCCAGGATATGAGGTTTGCAGAACTGGGACCAGCAAGCCCACCCTTGGCCTTCAGTGGTGCTGCCTATGCCAGCACTTCTGGGAATGGGAAGAGGACCAAGAGGACAGTGGCAGCCTGGTTGTGTCAGTACCCTGTCCTCCCTGTCAGGACATCCTCTCCCTCCTCGGTGTTTTGGAGGTCCTTTTGAGTTTGAGGAGGAAAGGGCAGCACTGTAGGTTTCCATCAGGTTTCCCTTTTGGCTGTAGAGCAGTCACCTGTACAAGGGCCCTGAAGGTAGGAGAAGTAGAGAGGAATCCAGGGTACCTGGGTTTGACCTTTGCCAGCCCAGGCCTCTTCTCAGCCTAATTTTCCTCAGAAAGCCTCTACAGACCTCTGATCAGAAGGAAACCTCTGTGCCATCAGCCTCCTAACAGTCTTTGCCCCATGGTCCTGAATAAATGGAACCAGGGTCCATAAAGACAGCTCTTCCCCTTCATCTTGTGGATGGTGGAAGGGGTCACCACTACAGGGGCTCCATGTGGACCAGGCCTATGAGCATGTGGCAGAATGGGAGGCACTATGCTGACCAGAAAGAGCCTAAAGGGCAGCCTGTCTAAGCAGCAGAGGTCTGGGATGGCCAAGAGTCAGCTGTGGTAGGAGAGAGGAAATCTCTCTGGATCCCCAAACAGCCTGTTTGTTAATCCCTGAATTTAGCAGCCATTTATAGTTTCGTTATCCTTTCCAGAGGGGCCAGAGAACTTGTCTGGCCTAGCTGAAGGCAGGTGGATTTGTGAACCATCTCTTTCCCTCTCCTTCCAGTGGGTATATAACATCCTTGACAAGAAGGCTGAAGCTGACCGGATTATTTATGAGAATCCAGATCCCTCTGATGGCTTTGTCCTCATCCCTGACCTCAAGTGGAACCAACAGCAGGTAAAGATCACATGCTGGAGTGCTCTAGGCTCCAACAATCCCACTCTGGTCATTGACAACTCCACTCCCAAGTTGCTGGCCTCTTTGACTGCCCTTCTTCCTCAACATCCGCATCTCTCTGAGCAGATTATAATTACCCATCAAGGGATGGCCAGATCTGTCCACGGCAACAGAGTATATTCTTGTCATACACAAATACTTTTGCTTTCATGGTCACCTTAAAGACTTTTCTGGCTGTGTTCTTACCCAAGAGGTGAGCTGAACAGGGATGTTCGTCTTCATGACTGCAGAGGCCATTCCTTCACCACTTAACCAACCAAGTGACTCAGATGCCATCTTCACTTCTAGCATCATCTGGAGCCTCAGGTGGAGCATTCTCTCTGTCCCCCTGAACACTACCAGATCCAGGCAGGCCCATGTTCAAAGCACAGAGAGTAACCATGATGATCAATCCAAAGAGTCCCCTACCCCCACTGAGCTGCAGAATTGTTTTCCAGTAGCCCAGACCTCCACTTCAGTTGTTAGCTCCCCATTCCCTGGCCTCCAAATGACTCTGCTTCTCCAAACCTTTGAAGGAGCAGGTTTAGAGGTGTCATCTACATTCTGTAGGTCTCTTCCCTCTCTCCACTGTCCTCTTTCCCATTCCAGCCCACTGCTGAGTTAAAATTTGCCTTTGCCTCTTTATACCCTGAGTGTATTAGAAACATTTGTACCCTGATGGATTCAGGAACAGGCAGGTCCATCGTGTTGTAAAGATTGCTATTTACAGGCTGGAATTAGAAGGGGCCAGGTAGGTAGACACAGGAGATTTGGCCATAGATAGCGTCCTCTCTCATCCAGTTACACTCTTGGAGTAACCTGGGCTTGGGTTTGCCATCTGCCCTGGGTGGGCCCATCTAGTTTCTGTGCCTTCATCTGGTCATGAGACCCATGCAGAAATGTTGTGGAGCCTGGGCCCTGGCTGATTCTTTGTGGAAACCCTTGTTTTCTCAATTGTGACCTGTTCTTCAGGACATTAGGACATATATTGAGCTCACCTGCAATTTGCTTAGTTTTTAATTCATTGAACTTTAAAGCTACTGCCCCCAGAAGGGGTTTAAAGGCCTGTGGTTGAAGTATAGGGACTAGATTTTAGCTCAAAGCATCTTTTGTCTCTTGATAAGAGGCTCATGGTTATTCTCAAATGTGGCTCAAGGGGTGGTAGGGAATGCAAAGAGAGTTTCCAGAAGTTGCAGCATGGAATGATGATTTCTTAGAGCCAAGCAGGATCAAAAAAAGTAGCTTGTGTGTGGGGTGTTGTAGTGAAAGGGGCCAAGAGCACACCAGACCCCAGTCTCCTCTTCCCTTGTCCCTGCCTGGGCCACCTTCAGGCCTTAAGGAAGGGAACTTGGACTTGCTCTGGAGGTGGTTAAAGAGCTAAGACAAGGCCCCAGAATCATGACCACAAGGTAGCTCTGCAAACCCCCATCTTTCTTTAGATAGACTAAAGATCCTGAATTAAAGTCTGGTCATGGGAGACAGGGGTGGGAGAGGAGGAACTTTGGCCTCACAAAACTCTTGAAGACTAAAGAGCTTGTGACTGACTGCAGGGGCATTGCAGCCACAGAAAGACAGTAAGGATGAACTTGTACATCTCCGTTTCAGAAGCCCTGAATGCATCTGAGTCCAGAATGGGAAAACAATCAGTCATCTGATCCAAGGATGGCAGGAAAGCTTTGGGAATTATACTGGGTTCTCAGTCACATAGCTGGAGCTGCCTGCCCTTGAGGGGAGTGAAGGGGCCAGTTTAAATGTCAGACCTTCCATGATATTAATGCTAATATGGTCCTTCTTAACCTTTGCCTAATTCATTTTTTAAAAAATATTTTTAGTTGTTGATATACCTTCATTATTTATTTATTTATTTATATGTGCTGCTAAGGATCGAACCCAGTGCCTCACACATGCTAGGCACGTGCTCTGCCACTGAGCCTCAACCCCAGCCCCACCTTTGCCTAATTCTTGCTTATTTTTTAAAGGTGCCATATTTCAGTGCCTCAGATCTATGACTTGTGACATCACTGACCTTTTTTTTTTTTTTTACTTTTGGTACCAAGAATTGAACCGAGGGGCACTTAACCACTGAGCCACATCCCCCAGTCCTTTTTGGTTTTAATTTTTAATTTGAGACAGAGTCTCACTGAGTTGCATAGGGCCTCACTAAGTTGCTGAGGCTGGCTTTGAACTTACAGTCTTCCTGTTTCAGCCTCTGGAATTGCTGGGATTACAGGCTTGTACTACTGCACACAGCTTTGAATCTCTGAACTTGATTGCTCCCTTAGAAGTTGGCAACATTCCCAGAAGAAAAACAGGCCACATCTAGGCTTCTATTCCTCATCCTGGGGCCATGGACTGATTGAGGGGGAAGTGCTTCAGCATTTGTTTCTGGGGCGCCTTCCTGGCTCCCTTGAGTCTCTCACAGCTTCTCCTGGAAGTATATTTCCCTTTCTTCTTTTTGTCCTTTCATTCTCTTCCCTTTCTCTTTCTATTCCTTTCCTACCTAATCCCTTCATATTCCCTAAGCATGTGCTCCACTCCTAGCCCCTGGAATTGTTATCTTTATTGTCCCCACACCGAAACCTCTATATTTACCCATTTGTTCTTTCTTCCATCCACTCAATAGATGTGTATCAGATGCCTAATGTTGCTAGAGGTTATGCCACCCAGAGCTTATAACAGCATTCCTTCCCTGGTTCTCTCAAGAGATCACTGGGTTTTTTTTTATTTTTTATTTTTTTTATTTATTTATTTTTTCATTTTGTTAGTTAATTTGTGCCCATGGTAAAATTGCACATAATATAGGGAATGTTCAGTGGGATTAAGTTCCCCCACCCTGCTTTCTTCCCTTCCTCAGAAACAATCATTGTTTCTATTTCTTTGTATCTCCTTCCAGGGATAATTTTTATATATTGTGTGTATAAATACACACACACATACACACACACACACACACATACACAAACACACATGCATTTTTGGTTCACATAGTTTGTTCTTTAGTCTAAAGTTCCCAGACCAGGGAGTCTTTCCTCTAAGTCACTCCGGATGTCAAGAAATGGCTCTCCAATGCTCTAGTCATCCTCTGTCTTGCCCCTTGTCAGGAAATCATTAACTTTGATTTCACTGTCCTGCCTTACAAAGAGACTGACTGTGTCTATCTCCCCAGAGTGGTCAATGGGCCACCTTTTAGGGTGCCAGTCTCAGGCCCTAACCCACCTTTTTGCCAGGCTTTTTTCAGATCATTTCTATGGGCCAGGAAGCACTTTGGCTGCCTGCAGAAATTTTGGGGTTATGTCTGCTATCAAATAATGGTTTCTTTTTGTTCCCTCACACAGCCTGTGAGCTGACACCCAACACCGGCTCCATGCCTCATTTCATTCCAATGGAGCAGAGAGATGTGATTTAATATCAGGTTTGGGTTTGTCAACAGACATCATCTAAAACAAATGCTCTATTATCTGGGTGTCCTGTGACAGACGTGGTATAGCTGAAAATGTGCACACATTTGCAGATATGCGTGCACACACACATGTACACACACACACACACACACACATGCCCAAGTCAAGCAATTTTGTTTCCTGGTTTCTCTTTGGACTCTTCCCTAGTATGAGAGTAAATTTCCTGGATACAGGCCATAGGAAGAAACTAAGCCTTTGTGGGCTTATCTCTAGCAGGGTCTGTCCGGGAGAACCCAGACTCTTAGAACTCTGGATGAAAAGAATGACAAGAAGATACTATTTCATGGTTGGACATAAGGCAGTTGGGTCCCTGGGGATTTGACTGTGTGACTCATGGTCCCCATATTATCTCCATGAAGAATCCAGCAGGTCAGACTACAGCACTGGGCACTGCTGCATTCTCCCTGAGCCTTGGCCCTGGGAATGTTGGCCTGCCTGGCACTTGAATGTGATAATCAGGCAAGGCCAAGGTTTGGGGTAGCGGGGAGGATGTGAGAGGGATTTCTGGCCAAGAGGAAGAGTTCATTTGCTCTCTGGCACAAGATATTGTTGACTCTGATTCTTTGCTCTGTTGTGACCTCCAGGTTTTCAGACAGGCGCCGTTTTCAGGAAGGACAGCAGGAACAGCCACCCCTGAAATGTTGATGGGGGAGGAGAGAAATGGGCTAACTGCTGTGGTGTTGTGGTGTTTGTTGCTAAGCTGGCCCCAGGCTCCCATTCCCTCCTTCACACCTCACTATATCCCACACACCCCTTCATGTGCCTTCATTCCAGATAAGTTGGGCTGCTTGCCCCCCGACTTCTGTGCCCTATACAGTCTTGACTCTGAGCCTCCTCTCTCATTGTTCCCTCTCCCAGAATGTGCTTTCTATCTTCTTCTTTTTTTTTTTTTTTTTTTTTTTGGTGGTGGTTTTGGGATTGAACCCGGGGCTTTGTGCAAGGCACGACACACTCTACCAACTGAGCTATATCCCCAGCCCTACCTCTGTCTTTCTTTCATCAAAACCAAGGCCCAGAGCTTCATACTTACGAGGCAAGCACCCTAGTACTAAGCTACATCCCAGACCTATTTTTATTTTGAAACAAAGTCTCACTAAGCTACTCAGGCTGGCCTCGAACTTGTGTTCTTCCTGCCTCAGCCTGTGGGTTGCTGGGATTACAGAATGTGCCACTGTGTCCACCTCCTACCACTTTTTCAAGACCTAGATCCCCTACTTTCTCTTCCAGGAGGTCTTCCTGGATCATCCCAGCGAGCAGGAACCTTTCATTCTTCCTCCTGTGTTTTGATCACTTTATTTTGAGGGTATAGCTCAGTGGTAGAATGTGTGCTTAGCACGTACAAGGACTTGGGTTCAACCCCCAATCTTCTCAAAAAAGCAGTTATACTTTATGTCTTATAGTAGAGTGACTTATGTACATGGATTAGATTGTAAACTCCTAGAGGAAAAGAATTCTTCTTGGCTCTTCTTGAGCTTCCCTATAGCCTCCCCTCTCCCCCATCAACTCTGAAGAATGGGTAATACTGCTGCAGGATGTTCTTTAGAAGGAAGAATACACAGAAATCCTGTTCCTTAGATAATCCTGCTAGCCTTGGGCACAAGAACACCTACACTGCCTGGGGACCAGTCCTGCCATGGGGTCTCATGGACTGGCTGTGGGACACTGTGTGCCTTGGGGGTAGGAATATCAGGACTGGCAGCCTGTCCCTGTGAGGCCCAGAACTGTTCCCATTCCCCTTGGTCTCTGTGCAGCTTGATGACCTGTACTTGATTGCCATCTGTCATCGCCGAGGCATCAAATCACTTCGGGACCTTACTCAAGAGCACCTGCCGCTGCTCAGGAACATCCTTCTTGAAGGGCAGGTAAGTTGCTTCACCAAACCACATTGAAGTCCATTGTTAGACTCAAGATTCCAGTATGTTCCCTGGGCCTCTTTCCTCACTCTTCCCTGAGTGTGTCTTGGAAACGGCTTCTCTCTGTATGCCAGTCTTATACTGTGTTAGGGCTCATTAAGTTGCTTCACAAGGGTCATTGGTCCTGGCCAGCCCTCTAAACTCTACTTTTCAGCCACCTTTCCTCACCTCCAGATCAGCCTCCCTGCCTTTTTTCATAAGCTTCATCTGGTATGCCCCCTAACCTCCATTCCAAGACTCTTGCCCCTACCATTCAGGATCACCTGCCTCGCGCATGATAACCACCTTGCGCCAGATGGGTTTCTTGGGCTTTAGGGCACATGATTTTGACTTGTATATATGTACATACAAGGCAGAGAGCAGGTTGATTCCATGGCACCTGATATTCTAGGATACTTTCTATCTGGAACATTTGTTTAATCTAATGAAATTTTAAGAGCACTAAAAGGGGCCTTGGGGGCAGGGGAAGATGGGAGGATCTTGGGTTGTGGTTATGGCCTGACATGTTGGCCCTAACTAGCTGAGTGGCCTGGGACAGTCATTTCACCTCTGTGGACCCCTATATCTGGTTGGGATCCCTTCTAAATACACCATTCTGTGGAACCAGATATCAGCCCTTTTTTCATTTTTAAATATGTGAAGATATACACCTATCATGCCAGGAGCTGGCAGCTACCAGAATACCCAACCCAAAGAGAACTCTGCCACTTTCTAGCCAGTGCCAGGGCTCTGCCCAGATCCTACTTCCCGTCACTGTGTTCTGGCCTGTTTTCCAACACCTTCTTGCCCATGGCACCCTCTTCTGACTGCCTTTATGTTTTTGAAACAACTTATTTTTATCAGAAAGTAACCTCTGGATCTATCCGTGGCACAGAATGATGTCTTTCTCTTGTTGAGACACTTGACCCACTCCTCCCTGTCCTGGCAGCCTCATCCCAATAGACCAGCCCTCTTTATTCCAGGAAGCCTTTTGGGTGCTTTGGGCCTGGTCTCACCTTGCTGCAGCAATTCCTGGGCATGAGGCCTGAGTCTTTCTCTTCACCTTTGACCTCCTCAGGGATCTGCCCACGAAGGAGATCAACATCTTCTCCTAATTCCAAGTCTTGGGGGCTCCTGAAGGAGACAGGGGAGGTCAGGGTAGATAGAAAAAGACCTCCCTCTGAGCAAGGTGGAGTGGGCAGAGAGAACCTGGGCGAAAGTAAATGTTTTCCTTTGGTGAAAGGAGCCCAGCTGCAACGGCCCGTTTGTCTGTGGGTCACCCTTCCCATATCCTTTCCCCCGCCTTTTCCCTTTCACCAGATTCTCAGCACAGCCCCATCTCTGTTTCTAAGCCTTTTTCCAAGAGAGTGTAGATATATTTCCTCCCACCTACCTCATGGTTTATCAAGTGCTTGTAATTAATTCATCCAGGGGAAGGACAATATCCACAGTCTTGGGAACCTGGGCCCTATACTTAGACACTGGGACTTCCTAGATTCTCAAAGTAATGTTTTATCAAGGTTGTTGTAGGGAAGCCTGAGAAGATAGGCTCTCTTCTGTTGGGGGAATGCATGTCTCAGCTTTGCTGCTGCCTTTGTTGATTTCCTAGAATGGAAGACAGAGGGATCTGAAGCAAGCAGAGAGACATTTGGAAGGTTTTTGTATGCTATCCCAGGCTAGCCTGTGCTAAGACAGGAGGAGTGCTGGGTGGGGGTCCTGACACTGGCTAGTGGGCAGCATGATAACACTTTCTTGCCTCCCCTTTTCTCATCAGGAAGCCATCATGCAGCGCTACCAGGTGAAGGCAGACCACCTCCGTGTTTACCTGCATTACCTGCCCTCCTACTACCACCTACATGTGCACTTCACTGCCCTGGGATTTGAGGCACCCGGTTCCAGTGTGGAGCGGGCCCACCTGCTGGCCCAGGTGATCGAGAACCTAGAGTATGACCCCACGCACTATCAGCAGCGCACTCTCACTTTTACCCTCAGAGCTGATGACCCCCTACTCAAGCTCCTACAAGAAGCCCAGCAACCCTGAGTGTGCCAGGAGAGGGGCACATTTGTTTGTGGTTTTGGGCAGTGTGGAGGCTATGTTTTACTCCAAGGGGATTTTTAAAACATTTATTTTGTACTGGTTTATTCCTTATATGTGAATAAAGTATTAGGCTCATCTGTGAAGACAGATAGCATGATCTGGGGAGGCAGATGGGGAGGGACAACAGTTGGGCAGAGCAAGTGGGAAAGTCCCCCGGAAGGGTGGAAAGTCAAGGTTGTGGCTGTAGCTGGAAAGTGACAGTACCCTGGAAGGGTGCTGAGAGCTTGCTCCAAGTTCCTGTACTCACCACACATGTTGGTTTCTGCCCTCCTCCCTGCTCACACTCCTTCCTATTGTGCTGCCAGGCCCTCTCCCACCAATTCGCCTTTGGGGAGGTCCCCCAAAATACTAAATTCAAAACCTCTCCGGAAATAGTCTATAGAGGCTTTAGATGCCACTTCCTCCTTCCCTCACAGCCCTGGTGTCACACCCTGCATGTGCGTTAACCCTGTAGAAAAACTTACTGAGGAGGATGGGGGATTAATGCCTGGAAGTGGGAGGGTTTTAATGAGAATCTGATGATGCAAGCCCCAAAAGCCTGCCTTTGCCTCTGTAATTTGGTCAGCTAGTCTCTGGCCTTGAGTTTATTATCTAGGCAGGAAGACAAAACACTCACGTGGAACAGCCAGAAGAGCAAGTGCAAAACAGTGTTATCAGCAAGGGCAATATAATATGGTTTCAGTTGAGTACAAAAGCTCCTAAGGAGCTTGGGTTCACAGTGTGGTCAGTGCTATAGGTTCATTAGAATCTGGAGGCCAGGAAGGGTCCTTGACAGATAAGAGAATGATGACCAGACTTGGAGCCAAGGGGCTTATCTGGGAAGGGTGATATCTACCACTGCCCCAGCAGAGCAGGGACACAGCATGCACATAAGGGTACTCTCCAGCACAAAGTACAAGTGTATCACAGTGTTAGAGGTGCTGGCATTTGCTGTTTGATCAGGGTAGAGCTGAGGCTAATGTGGCCTGCTCAGAAAGCTTTATCTGGGCCCTGAAGTGACAACAAAAGGAAAGCATTTGGCAGAGGGGTGGCTGTCACTCTGTCTCCTGGGTGTGGGACCCAGGAGGCCTGGATTCAGAGCCCAGCTCTTTTCCTTGCAGGTGAGGCCCTCAGCAGGTGGCACAAGTGCTGCACCTGCCCTAGGCCCACACTGCCTGCTGTGGAGAACAGGACGTGGACCCTGGTGGTGAGGCTTGAGTGTGAGTGGTCTCCTGACTCACCCTTCCCTTCAGCTCTTCAAGAATCCCAGGATTCAGATAGTGAGCAATTGTTTTAGGTAGTGACCAAGACAAGTTTCTCAAACTGCAAATCCAGCTGGATCCACTCATGGCCACCACACATCTTACCAACAGTTTCCTGGACCAAAAGCACATACTCCTGAGGACAGGACCACAGGTCACTGCTGGGCTTTTGAGGTCAGGAGCCTGGCCTGAGGGCTTCTCCCAGAGCAGTTTCCAGCTGGCAGGGCTGCTCTGTGGGGCTCAGTTCCTCTCCCTCCAGTTTACCGGAAGGGTAAACTGACCCCTTTCCTCTCTGAAATCAGATGGTCCCGACAAGCAAATACTGTTGCCAACTTCAGTACTGCAAAGGTGCCAAAGTGAGGACTCCCTCCAGAATACACTCCCTCTGCCACATCACATGCTCCCCACTACCCACCCAACTGTGCTGCTTGTGACTCCAAGCCCCCAGCTTGGGATGACCTTTATGTTCCATGCCATCGTCTCATGTGTCTGCCCTGTGGTGGATGGCTGGTAGGAATTTGATGGCTTGATGCATAAAACTGTGAGGAGGAGCCAGGCACTATGTCACATACCTGTAATCCCAGCAGCTCGGGGGACTGAGACAGGAGGCTTGCAAGCCCAAATCTAGCTTCAGCAACTTAGCAAGGTCCTAAGCAACTTAGTGAGACTCTGTCTCTAAATAAAATATTTTAAAAAGGGTGGGGACAGGGGATGTGGTAAGTGCCCCTGGGTTCAGTTCCTGATTAAAAAAAAAAGAGAGAGACAACACCTATGAGGAGGGATGAGTGATGGGCCAGAGCTCTTGCTGGACAAACTAAGCTAGGGGGTCACAGCAGAAAGGGTGGAGAGTCTGGAGAAGCAGGGAGTGCCCTTCTAGGCCACAGATCCAGGCAGAAAGAAGCCTACACCCTGGCTGGCTTTCTGGCTCTCCTGCAGGTTGACCTCTCCTGCATGCTTTTTGGTTCACTCTGTAAGGAGGAGCCTTTCTGGGATAGTGTCCCCTGAACTCCTCCCAGTCTGATATCTTCCCAACAGCACAGAGGGATCTTAGAACCTCACTGCTTATTTTTCTTATTCTGAATAGGACAAGCCTTTGCAGGAGTTCTAGTGAAGGGCTCCCCCCCTCAGCCAGCCAGCCAGCACTGTGTAACTGCCATCTCCAAAAAACTAGGGCTTTCCATAGAACACAGAACCCTTGAGTCCCATCACCCCCTATGCCTCATCCCACTGAGGTTCCTGCCTTGCATCTGGCCTGGAGCTAACAGTACAGAGGGTTGGCTGCTGTGCAGAGTACTGTCAAGATCCCAAAGCACATATGTCTTTTGGGGGTAACCCTTCCTGTCACACTCTCCTACACGACTTGTCCAGGTAATATCACATGCATCACCTCATTCCTACTTGTAACTGTTGGCTTGTCTGCCTTCTCTACTGGCCTGAGGGTAGAACTTGTTTTAGTCATTTCTGTCTCCCCAACACCTAGGATACTGTCTGGCTCAGCAAAGCAGAGTTTAAAATAAATCAACATTTATTTCATGGGACCCTCATCCTTGTTTCCTTTTAGAAATAGACTCAGGATGCTTTGTCCAATGTAATGGGGTGAATGTTAGCTCTGGGAAGCAGAGACTTCCGGTCCTTTGTTCACCATTTATCCAGGATCTAGGACAGTTCCTTGCCTATAGTAAGTGTTCAATGAACACGTGGTGAGTGGAAGAAAGGAACTGGGCTTTGAATCCAGGCCTTCTGGTTCTCAGTCCAAGGGATGCAAAGTAACAGCCATTCCTCTCTGCCTCACACTGTTACCTCCTCTGAGAGCAGAGTAACAGCCATTCCTCTCTGCCTCACACTTTCCCACTGCTATTATCTCCTCTGAGAGAGCAAGACACAACATCCTCAGCTTTATCTTGACCAAGTAGCAAATGCCGGTGGTCCTCTGCAGTGGTCCTCTGAGCTGGAGAGAATGCCCTTACCTGCATCCTGTGTCCCTGCTCTGCCAGAGCAAGGGCAGATGTTGCCCTTCCTAGAGTGGCTTTTAGTCCCCAACACATGGCCTACTTCTTTCCTGGGTTGGTTCGAGAAGAAAGGAAAGAAGTAGTTGTAGGCATGACTGCTATTGTTCCTTGGCTTTTATCCATTTGTCCCAGAGTTTCCTAATAGAGCAAAACTGCCATTTGTCAATATGAAACTGAGAAAAAGAACATATCCAAGCTCCATTTTTCATGTTCCTGTTGAGTAAAAATCCCCAAGTTGAGTAACAAATCAAGAAACAATTACAAAGTATACTTTTTTATCCAAAACATTTGAACACAGGCTTCTCTTGATATCCAGGGGAGTTTGGTTCCAGGACTGGCCCCCCTTCCAAGATGCCAAAACCCTCAGATGCTCAAGTATCTTACATAAAATGTTGTAGACTTGTATATAAAATATCTATACATCTAGATTACTAATAATATATAGTACAATGTAAGTGCTATGTTACACTGTATTGTTTAGGGCATAGTGTCAAGGAAAACGATTATGTTCAGTATGGATGCAGTTTTTTATGCATATATTTAATTAATTTTTTACTTATTTATTTATGCAGTGCTGGGGCTCAAGCCTGTGACCTTAAGGAGGCGAGGCAAACACTCTACTACTGAGCTAATTACCAGCCCTTTCTCTAATATTTTCAATCTGAGGTTGGTTGAATCCACAGATGTGGAACTCATAATATCCATGAGGATTATCCATGGGTAGAACTGACTATATGTCTATTTTATCCATGTAGGTCTACTAACTCTTCACCCAGAAAGGATTCTTTTTATTCTCCAAATGTATACACAGTGTTAAAATGTCCTTTTTTAAAATAAGAACATGGTAATAATTAGTGGTAGTTGTTTTTTAAGTATCCTTACTTATAAAATAAATGTCAACAACCCTAAGTTTATTCCATTATTATTGTTAATGAAATTATGTTGGATTCTGAAATGTATCAACTTGAAGTTACCAAGTAAATACTGTTAGCAGGGACTAAATCGGCCTAAAGCTTAAAGTATTTCAATTCCAGTTTAATATAATAAACAGGTTTTGGCATCCAGTTTTTTTTTTTTTTTTTTTTTTTTTTTTTTGCAAGGACTTGGACTCAGGTAGGGCTCATATGGAGCTTACAATTTCATAAGGAACACAGGCATTAATTATGAAAACTGACAAAAGAAATGACTGTCTTGAAGGAGTAGTGAAGTCTATGGGAGCCTAAACCAAAGAGGAGCTAAATCTCTAATTTCTTAACTAATTAACTTCTATTTTAATTGATAAAAATATATTTGTGGTGTACAACTTGATGTACTTTTGTATACACTTTGCATACCTTTATATACACTGTGGAATTGCTAAATCAAGCTAACACATGCATTACCTCACATTATACATCATTTTTTTTTTATGGTGAACAATTCTCTGAGCTTTTTTTCAATTATATAATACATTGTTATTAAAAAGAGTCACCATGTTGCACAATAGATCTCCCAAATTTATGTCTCCTGTTTAACTGAAAGTTTGTATCCTTTGACCATGTACCATCCAGGCCCTGGAAACCACCACTGTCTTGAGTTTAATATTTTTAGATTCTACTTATAAGTGAGATCATGTACTATTTGTTTTTTTTTTTTTTTTTTGTGCTCTTACTAAAATTTGATAATCATCAGCCAGATGACAAGCACAAGCAAAGTTTCACAAGTCATGACTCATATGAATAGGACTCAGAACCAAGCTCATCTTGGGGCACACATACAGTGAGAGCACTGGCCAGTGCTTCAGAATCATATTGAAGAAATGATGGGCTGTGGTGTAGCTCAGAGGTGGAGTACTTGCCTAGCATGCCCTGGATTCAATCCGCAGCGCTGGGAGGAAAAAAAAAGAAAGACAAGACAGCCAAGGCTAAGGGGAAACTTCATAACATTCTGTTTCTCTTCTGCTTGGAAAGCACAGTGGTCCCATGGCTCCAGCATAAACTCTACATCATAACCAAGTATGATCTTGGGCAAGTTACATAACTCCTCAAAATAAGTGTGACAATAGTGCCTATCCTGGGGCTAGGGTTGTGGCTCAGTGGTAAAGTGCTTGCCTAGCATGCACGAGGCACTGGGTTCGATCCTCAGCAAAATAAATGTAAAATAAATGTAAAATAAAGATATTGTGTCCACCTAAAACTTAAGAATAAATATTTTTTAAAAAATATAGTGCCTATCCTATCTAAGAGGCGTTTGTGAGGATTAAAGAAGAAGATTTGGGAGAATAGTAATATCACTCAGTAAGTATGAGCAGCTATTTTTCTGCTGTGAGTAACCTAATAATCAGATATTTTGACTAGCTAACTTGTATAGCCTGAATGTGTCCCTCCTAAAATTTGCATCACAAGATGATGGTATTAAAAGATGGGACTTTGGGGAGGTGATAAGTCATGACAGCAGAGTCTTCAGGAATGAAATTAATGCCTTATAAAAGAGACCCCAAATCCAGGTGTGGTGATGCACACCTATAATCCCAGCAATTCAAGAGGCGGAGGCAGGAGAAATGCAAGTTCAAGGCTAGCCTCAGCAACTTTGTGAGACACTGCCAAAATAAAAGATAAAAAGGTATGGGGATATGGCTCGGGGGTTAAGCACCCCTGAGTTCAAATCCCTGGTATCAAAAAAAAAAGAGACCCCCAAGAAATCCCTTGCTCTTTTTAATCATATGAGGTGACAGTGAAAAGTTCATACCAGGAAGCAGGCCCTCAGGCACCAAATCTGGCACCTTGAACTTGGACTTTCCAGCCTCCAGAACTGTGAGAAATAAAGTTCTGTTGTTTATAAGTCATCTAAGTGTTAGAGTCTGTAAACAAGTCTGGATGGCGCCTGGCAAATGTTAAGAGTCTGTAAACAAGTCTGGATGGCGTCTGGCAAAATGCCAGAGGGAGTGGTTTATGAAGTAACACCAGTGAGCCATTAAGTGTGGAGATTTCTTATTGGTTGACTGATGTATCTAGTTTATGCTAATTAAGATAAGCTTTGTGGAATGTATAAATACCGCTCCTGTCCTACAATAAAGGGCTTTCACTCCTGCTGTATCAATCTACACAAGTCATTCGTCACCCCCCAGGTTATTTTGCTACAGCCGGACTGCGGCATCTAAGCTATGGCATTTTGTTATAGCAGACCAAATGGACTAAGACAATATTAAAAATAACTCTATGGTGGGGCATGGTGGCCCACGCCTGTTTTCTCAGTGGCTCAGGAAGCTGAGGCAGGAAGATGGAGGGTTCAAAGCCAGCCTCGGAAACGGCTCTAAATAAAATACAAAGTAGGACTGAGGATGTGGCTCAGTGGTTGAATGTCCCTGAGTTCAAGCCCCAGTACCCAAAGGAAAAATAAAATTAAAAAATATAGTGATTAGAAGGCCCATGAAATCCTAGATGATGATGTAAACCAGAGATTTGGTTTGATTTAGTTTTTGTACTAGGGATTACGCCTAAGGTGTATTTTACTACTGAGCTATATCCCTAGTCCTTTTTATTTATTTTATTTTGAGACAGGGTCTCTCTAAGTTGCTGAGGATCTTGCTAAATTGCTGAGGCTGGCCTGGAATTTATGATCTCCTGCCTCTGCCTCTGGAGTCGCTGGGATTATAGGTGTGCACCACTAAGTCCAGCTTCAGAGGTTTTAAAGGAAAAAAAAAAACAAGAAATAAACTTTCTGTGGTTAATTTATTGTGGCCTAAACAGAGGCAAAGTCTGCATGAATGATGTCTTGGGATCTCCTCCTGCCTAAAGGTTCCTGGAATGCATTTTAGCCTTTGCCTACTGGCAGGTTTCTAACATTGCAATAGTGATGTCCCCTGCTATTAAGAAGCCTGGGAACAACTCAGTTCCATGGCCCAGCCATATAAATCTGATAAAAATAGGAGCTGAAATACCATCCTGGAGTTACTATTTTTAAAAGCGTCTGAGATGCTGGATTGAGCTTACTTCTTCAGACAGCATCTTGCTGTTCCTTTCTCCTCGTGGGCAGGATGTTAACGTGGCACATGAGAAGGACAGCTGCCAGAAGCCTGGGAGGCACATTTGTCAAGCGTCTCCTTGTCTGTTGCCCACACCCACTGTCTTCCAGGGAGTTGTTGCAGGGCCAGCCCTTCCTAGGTCTAGATGCACCTGCCCCCATACCTCTTTCTCCTAGGTCTCCTCCCTCTGCTCTAGAGATACCTCTGGTTGCTCTAGCAGAGAGGTGCCCTACCATATCCACATAGGAGAAACTCAGATGAGGTAAAAGGAAGGCAGAAGAAGTGGGAATGAAGTGGCACGGCTTGGAAGTGGACTGGGATTTTTGTTCTATAGCTTGTCTTGGCCAACTCTCACCACAGCTGACCTCAAGAGGAACAACAAATATCCATGAGCCAAAGCCTTGATTGCCCGATCACATTGGCTCTTGGTAAGCAGATTGTAATGTCCTGTACACTGAACGAAGGAGTGCAATGGAGTTGGGAGGGGCTTCAGAACTCAGTGCCTGAAAGCAGCAGAATTGCTTTTCTCCTGCCTCACAGATATGACTTTGAGGGAGCAAGCTAAACTTCTGACTGTGCCATTAAGAAACTGGAGGGGAGAAGTCATGAGTAAGAACAATGGGAGTATGAGGAGGTGATCAGAATTATAGTTAGTTTCTCTCCCAGCAACCAGACCTGGGATACATGGGGGTAGAGGAAACTTTTATATTAAAATAGGTATTTCACCTGCATAATAATAGTACAGTTGTATATAACATATTATGCTTTCAGAACAAATTCACATCCATTGCCTCATTTGATACCAACAATAGCTCTTTGAATAAGCTCAGTTATTTCCATTTATTTATTTATTTTCTAGTAAGAAAACTATAGCTATTTATTGACAGATGCAGGATTGGAACTCCCATCTCCAGGAGTAAAAGCTGGTTAAGTTTGATTTTCTTTTCTTTTTTTAATTTTTTTTTATTTTAGTTGTTGATGGACCTTTATTGTATTTTATTTTTGTCCTGAGAATCAAACCCAGTGCCTCACACATATTAGGCAAGTGCTCTACCATTGAGCTTCAACTCCAGCCCTAAGTTAGATTTTCTGGCAGAGTAAAGTTGATATGGTTCTGAGCAAGAAAAGAAAACTGTTTAGATCTAATTCATCAAAGACTTTGCCAACTTTGAAGGGCAGGCTGATTCTTGGACCAGTACTGCCAGACACAGCTCATCACTTAGGGTATTTGTCTTTTCTCTCTGGGCCAGTTTTCTTTCTGTAAAACAGGGCTCTTCCTTCTTCCTCTTGACCTGCCCAAGGAGAGATTTAGTCATTGTGTTCTCTCTACCCAGTCGAGTTCCAGATCTGAACATGATATGCAATAAATATGTGTTGAATGACTGACAAATCTAAAGGCACACTCAAATAAAACTGAGTTAAGCATTGGTGAACTGCCAAACAGCTTCTGCTCATGCAAAGTGTGATTTAAGATGGAACAGTCACCTGTGGAAGAACTTAGAAGTGAACTTGCTTCACTTTATTCTTGCAGAACAGAACTTACATTAGAGAGATGAGCCCTCCTGCTTAGCTGAAGGGCACTTTGAGCTGCCACTTCTCTAAATGCCTTGTACTAACTGTCAGTTACATTTTTCACTTAGTCACATCCTGTCCTGCCTTTTTTTTTTTTTTTTTTTTTTTTTTGTGCTGGGGATTGAACCCAGGAGCACTTTACCACTGAGCTACATCCCAGCCCTTTTTATTTCTTATCTTGAGACAGGGTCTCTGCTTAGGGCCTCTCTAAGTTGCTGAGGCTGGCCTGGAACTTGTGATCTTCCTTTCTCAGCCTCTTGAGTCGCTAGGATTAGAGACTGTCCCATAGCGCCAGGCTATCCTGCCTTATTCTTTAAAAGAGCCCAATGCAAGTCTTTTCTCTGTAGCTGGATGGTAAGCTTCAGAGGACAGGGGCTGAGTGTGAGTTATCTTTAGGGCAGAAGAGAAGCCATTCTGATATATATATATATTTCTGTTAGAATCACTCGTGCCATCAAACCCAAGGGCTTCACATCAGGGGCTCAATAAATGCCTTGCTGTCCGGTGAAAGAACCATTAGAGGGACAGTCCTGCGCTGCGATTTCTGCACTGTTCTTCAGCCTGGACGGTTTCCAGATTTACTCCAGAGATGCCAGGGCCCTAGGAACCAAGGTCAGGGGTTTATTGGGATTTCCCCGTGGAGAGAGGATGCCTGGAGCTTTAAGTAAGACTAGAAGCTTTGTTAGGCCAAAATATGGTGTGCAAGTGAAGGGTGCAGAAGGAGCAGTTTGGGGGTGGCAGGTCCAGACTGGGGTAGGGTAGAGCCCACAAAGTGGTCCACGATACCTGTCTGCCTTCAGTGCTCCCGGAACAAGGTCCTTCCTCCTCTGTGTCTCAGTTTCTCCAGTGAGGGAAGGACACAGTTCACCGCAAGGGAGGGCAGAGAACCCTTTCTCCGATCTCATTGTTCCGGGGAGGGTGTGAGGAGGCTGAGCTGGGCATACCCATCATAGGCGCCACTCACAGTCAGCGCCTGCCCTGGCTCTGCCTTTACCCCATCCGGTCTGCTCTTCCACCCCTCCGCGCCTACCGCACCTCAGGCCCTTGCCTGCCTCTCTCCGGGCCTCGAAGCCTTCCAGCTAACCCAAGCCGCCGCGGGCATCCGCCCCGCCCGCGCGCGGCATCGCCCCCGCCCTTCCTCCTCCTCCACCCCAGTCTTTTCCTCCTCCCCTCAGCTCCGGAGTCGACTCTCCGGCAGTGTGCGCAAGCGTGTCCGGCCCCTTCCCCGCCCCGCGCCCGGCCCGGGCCCGGGCCCCCGCCTCCCCTGCAGGCAGACTTGCCTGCTCCCAGGCCGGCCCCGCGCCCGGACAGGGACCGGGCGGAGCGGAGCCGCTGCGCCAGCGCTGCGCCGCCAGTCGCTGCGCCTAGCGGATCGGTGCTGTGCGCGGAACTGCCCTGCCCCGCCCCGCTCCACCCGCCAGGGTGAGTACGCGGCGGCCGACAGCCGGGGGCCCACGGCCGAGGGCTGGGAGAGGCGAGGGGGCCCGGGTCTCCTATCCCCAGCCCAGCGCCGTGGCTAAGGGAGGTGGTCGGGCCCGGCACGTGCGCACAGCGTGGCTCGGGGTTGGGGTGGGGCGGCCACAGCCCTGGGGAGCTGCTTCCCGGGGTTCCTTTCCCTGGACCACATTTTCGCGGGAAGCCGGATTCTAGATTCTCCTGGCTTCCTCCGAGTGAGCAAACAGGACAGCCCTCCTCTCTGGAAAGTTTCTACCTCCTACCCCTGTGCCTGGTGAAGAGGCATCCCTCACCTCCAGCATTCTTAGAGCGATGTTTTCTCCCACAACTGTCCCCATCAAGTCTGGTACATGTGGTCTGGCTTTGCTGGAGGTGACAAGCTTGGCGGGGTCTATCTGTGTGCAGGAGTTGGCAAGGTCGCTGAGCAGAGCCCAAAGGTGGGGTTGCCAGCTGGAGACTGGCGGTTCCCAGAGCACCAGGGCCACGTTGTGGGCGGTCTGTGGCGGACCTAGACCACTATGCTTCCAAGTTGCCTGAGTGGTGGACAGTGGAGTGGAATGGCTTTGAGGGAGGGTGAGCTAGAGCTCCAGGGCAGGAGATGAGGCAGAGATCCTGCGCTCAGCTATCTGCTTTGGGTGCCTCCCTGGGACCCCTGCTGGCAGAGACCTGTGGCCAGCCCAGAGTTGCCAACATGTCTGCCAGCACTGCCCCCTCCATTCCCAGTCCTGGAGGAGGCTTGTCTGGGCTGTCTTTGGCCGGATCTACTGCAGCTTCCTCTGTTCCTCAGACTGGGTCCCCAGGGCCGGGCTTAGGGGCTGCTGCTAGAAGGCTGGGGGTGTAAGCTGTGTTTGGTGCCCAACTATGCCCTGTCTGAGTTCATGCTTCCCCCACCCCCAAGGAAGCCTGTGCTTTCCACCACTGGTGGGAAGCATGGAATGGAAGCCACGTTCAGGTGGACTTACTTTCTGTAGAACTTTGGAAAAGGACCTGGTATAGGCTGGGTTGTCACAAAAGGCACAAACCCATGACACTGTGCAGGACCAGTGCTACAGACCCCACCCTCCCACTTGCCTTCTCCAAGCCCTGGTCCTGGCATCTGTCCACAGGTTTTAAATGAGTTGATCTGTATTAAGTACTTTGAAAAGTGCTTGCAGAGAGGAAGAACTATGTAAGTGTTTGCTACTAGAACTATTTCTCCTATACTGACTCTCCAAAACTGCCATGTAATTCAATGAGGTACCTGGGAGGTGCCAATTGCTTGGGGCCTGGAAATTGACTATCAGGCTATTTTGTTATATTGGGTGCTGGTCTGGGGATACCCTCTGCCTAAGCTGAGGTGGCCCTGCTTCCTCTACCTATTTCCTGCTCGGCTTCTGCCCCCATTCTCAGGGTGCTCCTTATGCTGTTTCTTGATTGGTCTGGGTGGGAGATCATAGGCTACTTCAGTGGGCTCTGGGCTCCACCAAGAAGTTGAGGGAGAACACAGACTTGGGGCCAGCTCCCCAGACTTCAAGGTGATAGTGTAGGTTAGAAGGGTGATGTGAATGGAATAAACTAGAAATGTAAATTAGGAGCCATAAGTGTATCTCAGTGGTTAGAGCACTTGCCTAACACAAAAGTAGGAGTCACCTGCTTGGACCTTGTACTGAGAGGGCATCTTTGGCTTGGGAATAGGTTGCTTCTCAAACATAGGAGGGCCCCCCCTTCCCTCCCTCCATCCCTCCCTTCCCTGAAGAAATGACTTACTCCCCACTCCTCAGAAACTGTCTTGGCCCCTCCAGTCTCCCAGCCATTTTACACTCTTAGGATTTAGTTTTCTGAGTAGAACCAAGAATCTACTCCTTTCTGAAATTGCAAGAAATCCTGGAAAGGGCCTCCCCTTCACAGGAGGATCAGAGAGGCCAGCTCCCTTTCTGGCACCATCTTGAACTGTGGCCTCCCTGCAGTAACCTTGTCTGGGCCTGTTATCTGTCTTTGCCCTGGAGACTGCCTCTGGTCTCTGGATCTCTTCTCAGAGTGACTGCTCCATAGTTGTTCAGTGGAGCTGAAAACTCCTCTCAGAGGGTCTCAAGGTTTGCACCGTCCATTGTAAGGAAGGGATCACTGTACCTCAGACTAAATATGAAACAGTTGTAAGATACCTACGGAGTTCGGTCCTTGGGCTTACAGGGAGGGAAGAGGAGGGAACACAGGGAAAGGGTAGAAGGTAAAGCAAGGTTGTGTGGGAAGCCTGGGCTTCCACTAGGGTCAGAAAGCCAAGCCAGGGCTCGCTGTCCCTGGAGATGGACCTTGGACGTAGGAAGGCAGAACAGGTGGTAAAGAGTGGGAACTCCTGAGTTCTCAGCACCTGCTCCCACCCCCTAACTGATCATTTCACCTGGTATTTGTTAGTTCTCTGTAGCAAGCCGATGCTGGTGAAGCTGCTGCTTCTTGTTCCCTGGCCCTTAGGATTTTCCTTCCTTCTCAAGACCTAGGGTCTTGACCAGAAGCTTTTGGTTTCCAGGAGGAAATGGCTAGCGTAGGGGACTTTGGGCGATTGTAGTCATTAGCATATTTCTCTCCTTTTTCACCCCTTCTCAGGGGTGTTCAGTGCTTCTGTATAAATATTGAGCACCCCTGGATGTGTTTCTAGCCATCCCTGGCCTCAGAATCTCCCAAAACCTTATCATATTCCAGGATTTTCTTTCCTGTTTGGGGAAAGTCAGCTAGAAAAGTCCAGGGAGCATTTCAGGGAGTGCCATTTCCTGTTGTGTGTATGTGTGTGTGTGCGCGCGTGTGCGTGTGCGCACGCAGACTCAGGCTCACATGATGCAATGCAGGTGGAGGAGGTGGTCCAGTGCAGCCTCAAGTGGGAGCAGCAGCAAGTGATACTGTGGTCCCAGCCAGGTGCTAAATTCCACCAAAAGGTGTTGCTTTTCAGGATGAGGGCAGTGTGTATCTAGAGGTTTGGCTCTTCTTTTAAGTCTTGGAGACATAGCCAGGGCCAGACCACAGCCCCATCTCTACCCACCCCACCCCCAAATGCTGCCATACAGAAGGATGATGTGATTGTCTACACTCTGAAGCCCTGGGTTCTGCTTTTGGCCCAGTATGAAGGAGGGTGCGGCTATTCAGACTGTGGTGATGTGTAGGTTGGCTAGGCCCTCAGTTTTCAATGTGGGCCTTGAGTGTGAGGAAGGCTGGGCTGCAGAAGCCCAGGAGCAGTTGGAGTGGTAGGATAACCTCTTCTTCCACTTGCAGCTTTGTTCAGTCCCTTGCTGGGAGTGAGGGACTCCAGGATCTTGCTTTCCTGTTTGGGGAAAATCAGCTAGAAGAGTCCAGGGAGCATTTCAGGGAGTGTAGTTGTGTTTCTGCATTGGGCCCAAACCCCCTTTCAGGGTGCAGGTTCCTGTTGCTGCAGCAATGCTACTGTGCCCACCATCTACTCTATGCCTTCCTCCCATTGCAGCATAATAAAAGTCATAATGAAAAGGGACTTAGCAAATAACAAAAGGAGTCATTATTTATCAACCAAGCACTTATTAAAGACCTGTTCTGATCAATTAAAAAAAAATGTGCTAGGCACTTATTCACATCACTTAATGTAAACCTTACCACCTCACCCCAAACCCCCAAATCCTATTTTTTTTCAGTGCTGGGGATTGAACACACATGCTGGGCAAGCATCCTACCACTGAGCTGTACCCCCAATCCCCAAACCCCCTATTCTTGAGCCCCTTTATAAGTGAAGAAACAGAGGCTGGGGAAGATTAAACTACTTGGCCAAGATCAGAGCTCATAAGCAGCTGAGCTGGGACTCAGTTTCAGGCCTGCTTCCAAACCCTGAACTTTTCAGTCCAGTTCTCAACTGTGCCCCTGAACTGGTTTTCCTTACCTGTTGGGCTTGCAATTTAAAAAAAAAGAAGAAGAAGGAGAAGGAGAAGGAGAAGAGAAGGAGAAGGAGAAGGAGAAGGAGGAGAAGGAAGAGGCTCTGGACTCAGGTATAAAGGGATTTGCCCAAGGCCACAGTGTTTTAGTGACAAAAGTGGGACACAAACCCAGGCTTCTGGGTGCTACCCTGAGTCTAAGTCATAGCCCTGCCCATCCAAGCCCAGTCCTCTGAGTTCCTGAGTCGGGCTTGTCTGCCCTCTCAGTTGGGCAGACCCGGGTTCTCCTTCCTCCTTCCATCTCGCCTCCTGGCTTTCCTCCTTCCCTGCCGGCCCCTGCCGGTCCCTCCCAGCCCCCACCACGCCCGCTTTCCCGCTGGTAATTGCTTCCATCTGGCCCGCCTGCCCGCTCCTATTCCTTTGGAAATGCGTTTCCTCGGCCTCCCACATGGCTGCAAGGCCTCATCCGGCAACCACAGCGACGCGTGGGGAAGGGGAGGGGCCCTACTAGGGTGGGGCATGGGGAATCAAACCATCCAAGGTGGCCTCTTCCAGTGTTCCTGCCAGGTAGGAGCACTTTTTGCTGCATAGACCTCCCTGACCTGGGCTGGCTCAAGGTCAGAGAGGTTCCCTAAACACCCCATTTTACAGCCATTGAAACCTCCTCTTGTACTTGGCAGGCAGGCTCAAAAGCCATAGGCCTCCTTGTTCTTTTGAGATTGCTCACCTTCAATGAAGGGGTGCCTGGCAGAGAGAAATAGAGACCAGTAGGGACACACCCTGGACTCCCACTGATGGGAATCTCTGGGAAGTAAGACAAACAGAGGAGTATTGGTGCAGAGCCCAAGGCATCCTGGGAGCTCTGGACATGTGAGAATGGAGCTACTGGTTTCATTGGCCCTAAACAGTTGACACAGAACAGAGATACAACCTCACATTGCCTGGATACAAAATCCACACATCCTAATAGTGCATTAATATTTGGTTGACTCACTTGCCTAAGAATCTGAAGAGGCTGAGGAGGGAGAGGTCGCAGGGTTGTCAGGATGGCCACCTATAGGTTTCAGAGGCATGCTTCTGCCTGTGGAAGGGGCAATTTCCCTGTTATGAGAGGTCTTTGAGCATAGACCTGTGACTTTGACAGGGACAGAATAGAGGAGATGCAGTCATTGGCTGGAGTGTGTTTGTAGTGTAGAATGGGTTTGAACACTTTGAAGGTATTTTATTTTAGGATTTTGATCCAAGCTCCATGGGGCTCTGTGGCACTGTAATCCCAACAACTAGGCTAAGGTAGCAGGATTGCAAGTTTGAGGCCAGCCTCAGCAACTTAGTGAGATCCTGCCTCAAAAATGAAAAATAAAAAGGGCTGGGGACATAGCTCAGTGGTAAAGCACCCCTGGGTTCAATCTCTAGTACAAAACCAAATGTGGCTTCCTTAATGTAAACTCTAGAAATTTGTCTGTCTTATTTGCTGCTATGTTCTTCATGCCTGCAATGATGACTAGCAATAATAAGTGCTCAATAAATGAGTGTTTGATGGATGAGTGAAAAACATAGCTCAGGTTTTCTACCATTGTCTTTATGTACTCCTATCCCTGCTTCCTATTCTTCTGAGAGCAAAGGAAAAAGAGTTTCCCTCTTTGCCAGATGAGCTGTTTGTCAGAGATTGGCCTGACCCCAGTGTGTGCTATCACCTTGGGGGCCCTGTTCAGACACCAGAAAGGCAGGCAGGAGCCTTGGTGTGCTGGGTCGCAGGCTGTCCCCTGAGGAGGGCATGCTCCATTCTTCCCACCCCCGGTCTGGCTGCTCACATTTCTGCACCTGTCACCGCTCTTCAGTAACCTTCAGGTCCCTACACAGACCAGACCTGTGTCACTTCCTGTCCTTATGTCAGTCTTCTCCTTATTTGGGGCCCTCTTAAGAAAGGGATCTTGGTGGTGCGGCTTCCCTTGGAGTAAGGGAGTCATCCTCTTTTGCTTCAATCCGACCAGCTCCACTTTCATTCCTTCTACATACTGAGTTTCCATTTAAAATTTCTTTTGAAACTGGGACAGAGGGTTTCTTGGCTTAAAAGATTTTTTTTTTTAACCACCCCTCCCCTCCGCTCCCCGGCTCCAGTGTGTTCTTATATTCTCTGTAGAAGCCTCATGTATTTTTACTTCCTTATCTTTACTTACACCAGCATCCCCACACCCCCACAGCTTAGGCATCTTTGACAATGACCTTTCTAAATGGCCAGTGTCCTTCAGCATCAACTCAAGCCCCTGTTCTATAAAGCTTCCCTGAAGCCCCCTGCATTCTCCTGTCCTGTGACATGGAGGGGATCTTGGGCCTGATGAGTCCAGAGTACATCTCAGTGCCACACAGGCTAAACCAAAGGTCCTGGGGTTGGGCTTCCGGGAGGTGATGTGGAGCCAGGAGCTTTGTATTTTGAGAGGCAGGTTATAGACTCTAAGCTCTTCCCTCCTTGCTAACTTTGATCAGAGCTCCCTGCCTGCCTTTGTTACCTTTGTTTACTTCTCTAACAAATTAGCACTTCTTAAGAGATACCATCAGTGCTTGGAACCTAGTACTGTATAAATGCTGGCTGGTGTTTCTGTTATTCCAGAGTGGGGAGCTGAGATTAAAGAGTGCCTACTTATTTTCCCCAGGGGAAAAGGGGCAGGTGGCCTGGTAGGAGTTGCTTCTGTCTCCTCTCTGTCCAGCTATGTGACCTCAGGCAGGTCTTGGGCTTGGTTTTCAATCAGCATGTCTGCTCATTGGGGTACAGATAATGGTGTCTGATCACTGCTTAGGATGGTGATACACAAATTGGATGACATTTTTCTACCTGAGAGAGCCCTCAGAGGTGAGCTTATAGTCACTGGACGATTGGGCAGGACCCGTTACTTGTCTCGTTTACTGTTGTATTCCCAGCAATACCACATTAGCACTCAGTAGCTGCTCCATAAGTATTTCTTTTTGCAAATGACAGAGTGAAAGCTCAGAAAAGACACTTAATTGTTCAGGGTCACAGCATCTCTCTCCCCAGGCAGGGAGGAGGCAGGACACTGCCCAGTTGGGCTGAGCCCCATGAGTGCTACTGGGCTCTCTCCCTGTCCTCCCATTCATGCCTTTTCATTCAGCTTGTCTGTTCTCCAGACCCTGAAGGTCTGAGGTTGTTGAGGCTAACCCCCCCTTTGGACAGGATGGGCTAAGATATCTGGTCTGGAAATGCCCTTTCCACTGGCCTAGCCTGGCTGTGTCCAACTGGGAGAGTTAGATCCAAGGGGCTGGGAGCAGAGGGTGTGTTGATGGAGTGAGGGGTGGGGACAGCATGGGCCCTTCTCTCCAGGCTTAGTGCCCCCTTTTCCTTCTTGTCCCCACTTTGTTCCTTTCCTCCTTTTCCTCTGTCCTTTTCTGCCTTCCTTTAAGATAGACCGCACCTGCTCACTTTCTTCTTTTTCTTTTTTCAGTACTGGGAATTGAACCCAGGGCCATGTGCATGCCAAGCAAGCGCTTCAGACTAAGACACATCCCCAGTATTCCTCTCCCTCTCCTCTGTTCCTCTGTCTTCCTTTCCACCTCTTCTCTCTCCTTCTCTTGTCCCTCTGCCCCTGCATTCCCTAGGCCTCAGCATTTGGGTTGTCCTCATGGGAGGTGGTTGGGTTCACTGAAGTGGGGGGGTACTCAGGAGAGACTTCACTGGGAGTCCAAAGAAAGCTCCAGGTATTAGCAGCTTTGGAATTTTAGGGCAAAAATGGCTCTTTCAACATGTGGGTGGGGGAAGGACAGTGCCTGCTAAGACTATGCAATTCTGTGGTCTTCATTGCTGCTTCCTGGACCCTATCCATATCCTTGGGCATCTTGGGCACATGGGCAGGATCTTGTCCTTCTGCAGCGGGTCTCCACCAAAGGATTGTCAGATGGAGCTTCCCAGGCCTCTGACTTCCTCCACCTTCCTCTCTCTAGAGCTCCAGCTCTTTATCCAAGAGCTACCTGCTAGGATGGAGGGAGCTGGCCAGAGCAGAGAGGAGGTTTCTGCTCAGACCCCTGCCAGGTGAGCGCACCTGTTGTGCTTGGTCTGATGCATGTGCTTGTGTGTACATGTGTGCCTTGTAAGTGTGTGGATATGTACATGCGTTATATGTGGGAGAGGGCATATGGGCTTGCATCGGTATATGGGCAGAACATGGGGTGCACTTTCACTGGTCCTTCCCCCGCCCCCCGCCCCGGCCCCGGAGCCTGGCACTGTGTTGCCTGTCTCTGGCCCAGAGCTTGCATCTCTGTGGTCTTTGTGACTCTAGCTTTGCACTGTGGCTTTGTTCTGCCTTAGGGGCCAGCTGGTCCCCTGCTGTGGTCCCACACAGTGGTGACTGATCCCTGGCCACCCATTCAGCTGTCTGGGGGCCCTTGGGCCAGTGTTTGTACCCTGTCTCCCCAAATGGAGGCGTGTAGGGGCTTCCTGCCCGGAGTCTCAACCCTGCCAAGGCAGAGGGAATGGGGAACAGCTGCGTTGGCTGATTCCGGCTCCTTATGGATTTGGTTTGACAACAAAGCTCCTCTGTGTGTTCTCAGGCCCCTTACATAACTGGGGGTGGGGCAGGGGAGGCAGCAGGAGGAGGTGGAGATGGAGACCCGGAGACACCAGGGTGGGATGGCTGGAAGGGGACAAGGACTAGGAAGAGAGGGGGGAGGGTGAGAGACCATTGAAGAAGGGGAAATGGGAGGAGGGGGAGAAATATGTTTTGGCCTCATAGTTTACTTCCTGCCCCCTGGAGTAGGACTCCAGGTGTCCAGACCTTTGCCTGTTGATGCTGGGGCCCCGCCAGCCCTGCACTAGCTAAGGAAGGGGCTGTGGGACCTGTCTGGGTGTGAGGTCAGGTAGGATTATTAGAGGCTAGCCCTGGGCTCCACCTTTTAACTGAACAGATTCCATGAAACAGGGAATCGTTTTCCTTCCTTGCCCTTGGGCTTTTGTTCCCTTCTCCCCAGCCTGCCCTGCTTCCAGAACCACCCTCCCACCGCTCACACCCACCTCTTCGCAGAGTTCAGGAGGCAGACCAATGCAGACCTTCCCTGTGCCCTGCCAGGCCCAAGGCCCTTCCCCACCTCACTCAGCCAGCCTCCTACCCAGGGCCCCAGCTTGGGGCCTGGCCCACCATCAGAAACCCTGTAGTCCTGCTGTCTGCATCTCCTGTCCCCAGTGTTCTGCTGTCCTTTTCTCACCATCATTATCCCTGCGGCTGTCCGAATAGACAGGAAAGAAAATGTTCTCTTTCTGGAACAGCTGGACTAACAGCTCCTGGAGGCTAGGTGAGCTTGCCAGGTTTGGGTGTGTCCTGGAGTGGGGGTAGGTACTGTGTCTGGAGCCTGATCCCTTCACCCTCTCCTAGGCAGGAGGACACAGAGAGGCCAGGTTGGTGGGACTCTGGCCTCTCCTGCCCTCAGAGAGAGCTAGGGCCCTGGTGGGGACTCATCTCCTGGGTTGTCTCAAGAGTCCGTGGCTTCTCTGTCCTCAGTTTCTCTGAGTCTTTTTCTGGTAACAGAAGTCCCTGGAAAGAGCCTCTGGGTTTGCATTGGTGGGGGTTGGTGGTGCTTGCCCCCATGCTGCAGGGAATGGATAGGCCACGTTCTTCCAACTTGAGCACAAAGATGGTTCCTACAAGGGCCAGGAGGAGGAGCTACTGGCCAAGGTGCCAGATTACCCTGGGCATGGGTTTTGGGCCTAATAGTGGGTTCTGGTGCTCTGCTTGGCCCTTGGCATTATGTGTGGTTGACTTGGGGGTCTCTGCCTATAGGCTATCCTGTAGGACCAGGAGCCTGCCTCTCTGTGGAGTCCTACTGAATAGGCCGATTCCAGAATCCCCAGTCCTCAGTCTCTGTCTAGCCTGAGTCTTGCCTTCCCTTTACCTCTTCCAGGTCTGAATGCTGGGATGATTCTGAAATCGCTACAGCCTAAGGCCTAGAGCTGAGAAGGTCTGAGCTGGTGGGAGGGCCAATTGGGGAGGGCCCAGAAGTTTTCTGGATTTGAGAACTCTGAGGGCTGATAGGACAGCTCCTCTCACAGGAATTAGGCACAGATGCAGAGACTAGGATAGGCCTGAAGGATGGTAAGTGTGTGCTGTGGGTGCTGGGGCAGGGACAGCCTTCCATAGGTAGCAGCCTCTGCGGTATGTGTGCCCATGGCTATAGGCTGCCCCAGAACCCTCTCAGCCTTGCTGGGGATACACCCACAGGGCCTAGCAGTGTGGCTGGGGTGCCTGTCCAGGGCCTCTGCTGTGTATCTTTTTTTTTTTTAGTTGTAGATGGACAAAATAGCTTTATTTTATTTGTTTATTTTTATGTGGTACTGAGGATCGAACCCAGTGCCTCAGATGTGCTAGGTGAGTGCTCTGCTGCTGAGCCACAAACCCAGCCCTCTGCTGTACATGTTTCTCTCCCTTGCTTTCCTACAGGCCCTCCCCCTGCAGCCCATCTCCTTAGTACCTGAGCATGAGCCAGACTCACTTCCTATGAATTGGGTTTATCAGGACATAGGACAGTAAGCCCAGGGCTTCTCTTTACCCAACTTTCAGAGTCCCCAGAGGGCTGGTGTAGCCACTCCCTGCTCTTCCTGAAGCTCCAGGCTCCCTGGCTGATGGCTCCAGGGACCTGCAACCTGACAAACAAACAGTAGGCGCCAGAGCAGAAGGTGAAGGAACCAGCCCATAGAATACCGCCAAGGAATGGAGGAAGTGAATGCTCTGGCGGAGGCCCAACAGGCCCCAGAAATTGTATGTGGTGGGGCGGGGTGTGTAGGGGAGGGGAAAAATGGGGGGAGAGGGCTGTGTTCCTGTGTGTTCTGAGGTAGGCCAGTGTGCACTGAGAAGTGTGTACAGGCTATCACAGCCGAGGGCCTGAGTGTGAGTATGTGTTACGGGACAGGAAAGGTTGGCTTGAGAAGAGTTACCTGGGCCTTCTGGCCATGAGATATGATGGGGCTGTGAGTACTTAGATTCACTTCCACATTCCCCCAGGGGGCTTGGGAGCCCCAGGTGAGAGGTGGCCCTGTGTTGCCTCTGATAACCTGAATGTCAACCAGCCCCTTCCCCTGCATTCCCACTGCTTCACCCAGAGGGACTGTTGCTCAGAAGTGCAGTCTGGTGTTTTCCAGCACCACCTAGAAGGTCAGCCATTCCTCCACTTCCCTCCTTCTCTACTTTTACTTTGAGGAGAAGGGTATGTACAAGTGGTTCATCAGCAAGTCTTAATGATGCTGATAACCTCCAGAGGGACTCACTCACCCCCTTCTCTGTTCCCAGCTGACAGGCTGACGCAGAAAACTGTGTTTTCCTTACCCACAGTCTTCATTTCTCTTGTAGGGGACACATTCCTTTAGCCTCATACCAACATGCACCCTCCACCTGAACCCTTTCTACTTCTCTCAAACCCAGCCCTTTTAACCTTGTTGAGTTCATAATAGAAATTCATGAGTAAACTTTCCTCTGATGTCCAGAAATTTATTTGTTCCTGAATTGCCAACAAGGGCTAATTAGTTCATGTCAGTTCTGACCAGATGTTCTGGAAAGGAGAGAAGGGAATAAAAGTTCTATAAAGGTGACTAGGGATCAGGAAAGAGTAGATTCTGGGGATCCTTGCTGCTCCCATATACTCCAAAATAGAGCTGAAAGCCAGAGGCATTTGTAGGGCAAAGCTGGAATCTTACCCACCTCTGTGGGGATCCTAGGTCTGAACAGTGCTCTACACCGTTCCCACTTGGAGCCTTTAGGAGTACAGATGGTCCTTAATGTAAGATAGCTTTTTTTTTTTTTCTTTTTTACTTAGGATGTTTAACTTTATGATGGTGTGAAAGCAATGTGTGTTCCATAGAAACTGTACTTGGAAGTTTGAATTTTTCCCGTTTTCTGGGCTAGTGATATGCAGTATGATCGTTTTGTGATGCTGGGCAGCAGCAGCCACCAATACTCTAGGGTGCACTGGGGCTAAGCTGGGATATTCCATTAGGTGTATTAAATGCATTTTGACTTGAAGTATTTTCAGCTTCTCAGGACACAGCCCTATCATAAGTCAAGGTGCATCTCCATCTGCTCTGGAGAAGCACGTTAATCACCAAGGGAACATAGCTCTGGAAATAAGAGGCCATTCAGTGACAGGGAACTCTGCGAGTAGCTAGCATCATGGTGAAGAGGGGACACATGTATGACTGAAAGGGATGGCTGTGTCAGGGACCTGGACACTAACTCTGGAAGGTGCTGTATTGGGAAAGGGAAAACATTAGAGTGGCTTCCCCACTGCCAACCTGCCTCTTTGTTACCTGCAAGGTAGGGGAACTGATGAGGCTTGGCTGAATTCTTGGGTGGGGATATGCAAGTTATACAATGTCCTGGAGCCCTGATCAGTCAACTCCTCCTAGTCAGGAAGAAACTGACACTCCTCATCTGTAAATAGGAATAAAAGTAAACTGTCACATAAAGGAGTTTAAAAATTAAATGAGAGTATGTACAATAGCTGCAGAACTTCCCCAAGGAGCTTTTAAAAATTAATCCAGGGGGCTGGGTTTGTCCTTCAATGGCAGAACACTTGCCTAGCATGTGTGAGGCACTGGGTTCGATCCTTAGCACCACATATAAATAAATAAAAAGCAAAGGTACATCAACAACTAAAAAATTAATCCAGGACTGGGCCTTTAGCTCAGTGTTAAAGGCTAGGCTAGTTTAGCCTAGCATTTTAAAGTCCCTGGATTTCATCCCTAGCATAGTGGTGGGGGGGACGGTGGAGAGTTGTGTCACTCCTATTAATACCCTTCAATAACTTCATGACACCTAGAATAAAATCCAAGCTCCTTGGGGTGAACCACAATGTCCTATACCACCTGGTCCCCATGGCCTCCTCAGTACACTTTGGGCCCTTCCTCGTCCTCTGTGACTACATCAGACTTACTCTTGTTCCTTTCATCGGACAAGTGTGGGGTCTTTGCACTTCTGTCCGTCTGGAACCTTCTGCCCCTGCTCATTCCCATCTTTGCATGGCTGCCTTTTCATGTTGATTTCAGGTCAA